GGAGGGGAACTTGTGGTGAGGGGAATGTTTTCTATCTTGACTGTACCCATGTGAATATTCCGGTTTTGATATTGTAATATAGTTTTGCAAGAATTTAGGGGGAACTGGGTAAAGAACACATGGGATCTATGTTTATATCCCAAATAAAAGTTTAAGGTTGAAAAATAAGTCAGACTAAGACTTAAATGTTAAGCAAGACTGGACACACCAGCAGAGACACTAAAAAAGTAATCATTTTTGTTGATGCTCCCAGCTCCAACAGCAATGGCAGAGATTAATGAGAACTTTTTAAAAATTATTTTTCTACTCCATGGCTTCCCCCAAATTAACTACCTCAAAAAAAAAAATCTTGGTCAGGCACTGTGGGTCACTTCTGTAATCCTAGCTACTTTGGAGGTGGCGAGCAGGAGGCCAGCCAGGCAAAAAAAATCGGGAGACCCCATTTCAGTGAATACAAAGGTGGGCATAGGGGTGCACGTCAGCTACAAGGGAAGCATACAGAGGTTTGTAGTCCAGGCTGGCCTGGCAAAAAGAGACCTTATCTCAAAAATAACCAAAGCAAAACAGCGTAGGGACGTGGTTCAGGTATTAGAGAGCCTGCTTACCAAGTGCAAGGCCCTGAGTTCAAACCTCTGTTCTACCTCCTCCCCCACCCTCTTCCCCCTAAAAAAACAAAACCTCCCCAATGTTGGGTGTTGGTGGGCTTAAGGGAGAGCAGAGAGGAGCCTGAAGATGCAAGGAGGGGAAGATTGGGAGCAGGGAAACTGAGGTTTGGGTGACTGGGGAAGGAGGCCAGAGCGGGCAGCTGGTGGCAGTGACAGAAAGGAGGGAAGCTGGCTGTCTAGTGTGAAAGTGGATTTATGTGGAGGTTGCTTGGGAAACATTTCCATCTGGTCCAAGTGTCAGCCTTGACCTTTCGTAGCCCCTGCTTTTGTTTTAGATGTTCCACTGAAACTTACAGAAATGTGTACTGCATGGATTTTCACAAAGTGAATGCATCTGTACATGTGAGGCAACACAGATGAAGTAACAGGGAAATTAAAAATAACAGTAAAAGGACCAAACTCAGATATTAAAACAAAATATCAGAGCAGCAAGCTCTCCTCCCTTAGATGTTAAAGCCATTAACAGAATAGGGAGACATACGACAATGTTCAGAAGCCACAAACTCTTTGAACAGACAGAAAGTTGGAGAACATGTCTCACAAACGGAAGTCCTAAAACTCACCTCTTTTCCCTGCATCTGGGTAGGCCAAGCCACATCTCCATGTTTTTGAATAATAACATCTTTGCCATATTTTCGGTAATAGACCCACCCAGATTTCAGTGTGTAATTCCTTAGATAAACACCCTGGACGAGTGCCACCCTTTGGAATCTTTACTCACCATTTTCTGCATGTGAAGTGCAACAAATGTCCCTCCCTTTCCTGTCTCTCCCTACTTCATCCGTCTCACTAAATCCTTGCTAAACTTCCACCCATGAGACTCTGTGAGATCCTCTGAAATGCTTTTCATTGTGGATCTCCAGTTCCTGCGATTTATGTGGTAACTGGGAAGGTGAGGGACCCCCTCATCCCTTCCTACCTCTGGAAACATATCCAGTATGCAAGGAACCACCTTCATGCTCCCTTACAGCTATTCCTTTTCGATTAATCTAAGTAGAATCATTTATTATGTACTCTTGTGGCTACCTTTTATTGATTGATTGACTGATTGATGCTGGAGCTTGTGCCTGCTAAGCTGTGCTCTTTGTGGACCTACACCCCCAGCCCTGTCTGGCTTACCTTTTTTTTTTTTGCAGTACTAGGGTTTTAATTCAGGGCCTTACACTACTAGGCAGGCACTCTACCACTCGAGCCACTCTACCAGCCCTTTTTTTGTGTTGGGCATTTTTGAGATAGGGTCTTGAACTATTTACTGGGTTGGCTTCGAACCACAATCCTCCTGATCTCTGAGTAGCTAGGATTACAGGCGTGAGCCACCAGTGCCCAGCTTGTGAGATCTTTCTGTAATGTTGCATACACTTGCAGATCTTGTTATGTATTATTCCATTTGCAGATATACTATAATTTATCCATTCTAACATTGCAGGGCATTTGGACAGATTATAATTTAGGGCTTGTAAGGAAAGTGATTATGAAGCGAATCACCTGTAAAAGTAGGTGCACTTGAGAGATAAGTACCCTGTTACTAGGTAACCACCAAAGGACAGCTAGTTATGTAATTAATGGCTGGATTTGCATGCAGAATAGATGTAATAACTTGGCTGGATGCCACTTTTGTCCACATTGGTATAAAACCCACTGCTCTGAGCAGCCTGAGGCTGCGGCTGCTGACAATAGGGACTGGCTGACTGATGACTGCAATGGATAATAAAACATATAAACTCCCTCTTGGCTCCTGTTTGCACTCCAGTCAAAGGACCTGTTTGAAGCAGGGTATTTGACTCACAGGGCTATCTGAATATTGCTACTCTGACAATTCTTACATATGCCTTTTGAACATATGTACTTTCTCTTCTGAGTCAGGGTCTTGCTACGTAGCCCTGGCTAAGCCTGGAACTCTCCATCCTCTTGCTTTCCAAGTGCTAGGATTGCAGGTGTGAAACACCACACCTAGCTTGTATTACATTATTTCTGTTGGAGATCTACCCATAATTCAAAAAGCTGGATCAAAAGATGTACATTCAGCTTTCATACAAGTTTTCCAAAATGGTTGTATACTGTGCAGTACCAGTACTTACCAAGATCTTCCCTAACACCTGATATTTCATGCTCTTAAACTGTTTTCATTCTAGTGGGTATATATTGGAATTGCATTTTGGTTTTAATGACAGATGACAAAAGTGAGCAAAAGGGCCCTTCCCATCTTTTGAAAAGATGCCAGGCACACAAGACAGCTCAGAGACCTTAGGGCCCAAGACTAGCCAAAGGAGTTTTTCTTCCATTTACAGAGTCATTTGGGCCAGGTGTGGTGGCACACACCTGTAATCCCAAGTAATTGGGAGGCAGAGGCAGGAGGATCAAGAATTCAAGACCAGCCTGAGCAAAAGTAGTGGTGAGACCACCTCAAAAACAAAAGAAAAACCAAAGAGCTGGTAAATAGAGTGCTTGCTTACCTAGCATGTGCAAGGACCTGGATTCAGTCCCCAATCCCACAAAAAAGAAAAAAATAATTGGTTTAGGCCTGCAGTGAAGCTAGCAAGTTGAACTGTTTCCCTTAAACTTGAGTCCAAGTCATCTGAACCAAAGGTTTGAGCAGGAAAACAGGAAAAAGATGACTTGACTGGGGAGCCAGAAATAAACCCTGAGCGCGGTGCAGTCACAGCAAAGCCCTCTGTACCTGTATGCAAACACTGCCATCAGACTACAGCTACCATGTAATGGGGCAGCCTGATGACAGCTTTCAGTTACTGGTTCAGTGAACAGCAACACTCCAGCCATTTGTCTGTGGGGTCCCACTTGAATCTCATACTTCATATAAAGGTAATTTTAAATTGAAGACATTTGAGATTCAACATGTGCAGAAAGCAGTTTTTCAGATCTTCCTTTAAATAAAAGCAGGCACTTCTGAGAGAGACTGCTCCAAATTCCCCGATGGGGAAAGTCTTATTGGCCAGAAAGATGAAACCTACTTGGCACCTACATAAAAAAAACCACCCTCAATCCGGGCGCCATTGGCTCACGCCTGTAATTCTTGCTACTTGGGAGACTGAAATCAAGAGGATCAAGGTTCGAGGCTAGCCAGGATATAGTTAGAACAAAATGGACTGGAGATGTGGCTCAAGCGGTAGTGTCTGTTTTGCAAGCGAGAAACCCTGAGTTCAAACCGCAGTCCCACCAAAAAACAAAACAAAAACACCCCTTACTCTCACAACTCTACCTGTGGCGCCTCTCCTAAGACCCCAGACCCTGCTTGTCATTCCCGAAGAAATCTTTGATCTTCCCAGATAGGCCCGTACCTCCCCCTCCCTCTCGCTGATTGGGCTGGCTGTGTAGACGCCCATCTCCAATTATGGAGGGTACTTGTTCTGTGCGCCTGCATAGGCATGATGGACACGTTTTTGTCTTTGCCCCTGGTTCATCTTCAGTTAACCCACAGACCTCCATCAGCAAACCTACGTGGGTAAAGGGAAAAGTTTTTCCCACAGACACCCTCTGGCTCTCAGTAGGACCCATCAGTTTGGGTTGCTGTGACTCAGTCTCCTATTTGGTGGAACTGTTCTGAAGTATGGGGGTGTCCGGAAATACCTGGGCCAAGGCCCAGTTCTTCAGCTGAGGGCTCACCGGTATTTGCTGGTGATGGATTTAATCTTCGGGGAAGCAGGTGCCGCTAGATTACGGGCTTTAGCATCTAGCAAGGAGGCGGATTCAAACCTCACGCACAACCAACGCCAGGTACCCCGGCTTTTCTGCCCTAGAGTCACGCTGGTCTCAAAGGCACCTTCGCTTAGCTGCTCCCCTGCACGCCTCGAGGGAGGACCGCAGAACCTGTTTATTAGGGGCGAGTGCGGGGTCCAACTCAGACCAGCCCTCTGAAAACAGGGCTCCATTTGGAGCTCTTTTTATAGGATCAGACTCTGGAGGCCTGGGCATATTTCACTCCCCTCTGGAGGGCGTAAAGGTCTAGCGAGCTCCAAATGCTAATAATCCCCGAGCCGCAGGGTGGCGGCGCTTCAGGGCTGTGTCGCTGCGGGGAGCAGCGTGTGCGGAATTAAACCTCCTCCGCCCAGGCCCCACCGCGGGCCCCGAGCTGCCCGCGCTTGAGGCCAGGTGGGCGCCAAAGGGCGAGCTTACCTGCAAGGGCTGCGGCGAGGAGTAAACGGGCCACCGGGGGGAGGGAGAGGGACTCGCATTGGGGCACCAGCTGCAGGTGGGGTGCAGTACGGAAGGTTGGGGCTGCGAGACCCGTGAGAAACCAAGCCCCAGCGGCCGCCCCAGCCGCGCTCGCCCCGCCCCCGGAGAAGCCCCGCCCCCGGCCGGGCCCCGCCCCGCGCCTCCTTGCGTCCGCGGCAGGTGCGGCGCGAGCCCCAGGTTTCCCCCGCAGCGGCCGGGAATTGAGTACCGTCCCCAGACTCCGCCCCAGTCCCACCGCCACCAGTGTCTGGAGTGGGCCGCGGGCACCGGTTGGTTCCGGGAACCACGCGTGATTCATTCCCTTAAAGGACAGGGCGTCTTGGCACGTCCAAATCGAAATGGAGTTTTTAAAGACCCATTTTCTAAAAAAAGAAAAAAATCGTGTAGCCTAGTGCAATTGTGAAAAATGAACAAAGGTGACGATGCTTATTTTCCCGCTAGCTTTTCTGGTTGTAATTGCGAAAATTGATTTTACATAGGCAAAGTCCTGGCAATTAGAGCTAGCAATAAAAACCCCAACTGCACGGGGCTGGGACTTAGCTCAGCCACGGAGAGCGAATTTTTCGCGTGCGTGTGGCCCCGGGTTCCAAACCCAGCACAAAAAAAGGGGGGGGGAAAAAAAAGGCCAAACCCAACTGCACTTCTAAAGACCTTGCATTGAACACACGTGCACACGAGTCAATTAGCAAATCATTCCGTTTCAAATACACTTGTGTACTTTTTAAAAATGAGAATTACTTGTGTCAGAGAAAAGGTGAACTTTGCTCTACTAAATATGCTGTCCAGGCATTTGTTGCACACACAAAAAAAAAAAGTAAATCAAGCAACTTGTAATGGTCCCCAGATGCAAACCAGACACGCCAAGCTTATTCCTTAGCAAATGCAAAGGATGACAAGTGTCAGTACTTCATACAACTAGATTTAATAATTGTTATTACAGAAAAAAAGAAGTCCAAACTACAAAGTTGAAGCAGTTGTAAGCAACAGCTGCAGTGAGCTCCAAGTTTAGTCACAGAACTGCAGTTCCATACAAGCAATGAGTCCAAGCCCCAAAGGCAGAAGCTGAGTAGGGTTACTAGCAAAAAACAATCTAAGAGAACAAGTAATAAAAGATACAATACATTTAAAATTAGTTGTTAGTTGAAAAACAAATACAGAGATCTTAGCTGTGAACACTCTAAAAGTTAGGTCCATTGTTTTGACAGCAAAAATACAAATATCTAATGCTTTATACCCCAACAGAACTCTGACCAGGAAAGAAAAAGAGAAGTTATCCTGTGTTAGCACCCGAGTTTTCTACTTGTTGCAGTGAACTCCTTCCACATACAAATTCAAACATCTCTGAATCACAGATCCACTTCTTGACCCATTTTGGGGTATAAAGTCAACAGCATTAATTATAAAATACTCTGTGGTAAGATGGAACACTATTGCAGCTGAGATAGAGAAGTTTGGTTGTAATAAAATTAAAAAAACAGAAAGAAATGTTAGCTGACATACTATACAAACTAGTGAAAAAGCAACAATCTATACAAAGAAGCCAGTTTTAACACAAAGATACTTTTTTTTCACTAATCTGTGACTAATCTTTCATTCAAACCTTGCAAGTAGAGATGTCACAATACTCAAATATTTAGGTAGGAGCTTTACCCAGTTAAATGCCATTTTGTTGCTAATATAATAGATAAAATGAAAACTAGCAGTTATTTGCTAATTGCGTAAATGCAGTACATCCTGCATTAGCCCATGCCTCACTAACAAGCTATAAAACACAAGATATAGGCAGAAATCTAAGCATACTCTTTATACCACTAAACAAGAATTTTTCCAATTGCTTTTCTTCTGTTCCTAATCATTTATTTGTAGTTAATGTAAAATTCCAACCAGTAGTACCCAATTTGAGTTAAATTTTACATCACAACTTGATCTAATCTATATATTATTTACAAAACTGAATACACAGAGCGTACCCAAGAGCCAACTCCGGACACGTTTCTCTGAGTTGTTGATAAACCTCACCTCCGCAGCAAGGGAACCGGAAGAAGCCACCAACGACCAGGGGAAACACACCACCTATCTAGAGCAAGTCATTGGATGTTCTGCTTACGCAACACCAGTTTTGCAGTTGTATGTTTCTGCTTTAATTTTAGGTGCCATTGCAACAACGTGCCTTAAGCGCAGTTTCAAGGTGAGGTGGGGGCTGGAAAAGCAGCAGTAGGAGGGCAGATAGATCATGCAAGGGGAGCCCAATGCATTGCCACAGAAGAAGCAAACAAGGGGCGTCACACCAGGGAACAGGCAGGGGTGTGGAGAAAGATGCAGCCTGACACACAGTGTCCATATCCAGTGGTGACACCTGAGGGTGCTTCCTCAGTGCTGCCAGCCAACCCCTTGTAGTAAAGGGACACTGGCGAGGCACTGTGGTTGAAGTCCATGCTACATAAAGGTGGTGTCTTCTCAGCGGCTTTCTTTGACTCACAGATGTGACCACTGTGTGCAGGTAAGAGATTCAGAGGGAAAGGCACCACCTCACACGTGGACAGCAATTGGTGGCAGATACAGATACACACACACACACACGCACACGTGCGCGTACACACACACACACACACACACACACGCACACACACACGACATAATGAGGAGTTAGAGGAAAAGCATTGTTGACCTGGCTAGGTTTAAACCCAGTAGCACTCAAGAGCAGTGACTTTGTTATCAGGGCCACAGACTTGGCTGCACCTGGTGTTGTATAAATCCACTGTGACATCCCTAGAGACCTGTACTGTGACATCCCTAGTCTTACACTAAACCACTGGAATAAAGGAAAAGGCTTGTCAAAATGTCACATGTTCTGCTCATTCTGTCATTTTATTACCCAACTGTCCATTACATCTCCAATCACTTTACATAAACAACCATGTTCATCGTTGTCACACTACTGTAAACCACATCGGCAAGTTAATACATAAAGCTTTGCATTTCAAAAAACTAGACACTTTAGTAACAATATTACAAAGGTTTTAGCTTCAAAAATAACTGAAAATGAAAAAAATAAACTTTTAAAGAATTAGCATCATAAAATTAATTTATTCCAAGTAAAAATACAAAATAATATTATGACATTGACCAGATATGAAAGTCCCTCCCAGAAACAACTCTATTAATGATTGAGAAAGCACTCCTTAAAGAAAATACGAAATAAAATGAAAAATATGTAAATATGTTTAATTTTTTTCTTAGCAAAAAATCTTTCTAAAAATAACAATGAAAATTTGTCTCAGTACAAAGGCTACATTACTATTGAAAAAATACCAGCATGAAGAAAAGGTACATATTTGACAGTAGAAAAATGATTTCAGTGAATCACAATGTCTAAAGTTCGCAATGAAAATAAATCTGCAATAAAGATTTATGCCTTTTTTCTTTTCTTTTTTTCTATTTTTTATACAAACAGTACAAACAGTATTGCACATAACAACAAATAGTCGAGGTTAGGTTATAGCCTTCAAAAAATCGACTAGTTCAAGTGTCACATCAAGGAAAGGCCACAGCAGGACCTGTGTTACCCGGGGCTTCCCAGTCAAGCTGCAGGTCACAACACCTCTGTGTTTTAAAAAATAATGTTTTTGAAGGACCCTCTCTTTTAATATAACATTAAGAACTTGGGGGACACACTTATTTACAAAACAAAAGGGAACATGTTATAATTTAATAAACTAAAAAAGTTCTCTTTAAAAAAATACAAACAGAAGAACTCTTTCACAATCCTGGTCAGTCGTGCACAATCAACGCTTGATTATAAATATACAAATGAAGGGAAAATAGTTTCCACCATCTACTCACAACTCTCAGCACCAAGTAGAGTTTAGTTTTTAACCTAGTCTTCACGACAATGTTTTTTTGATTTTTTTTTCTTTTTTGCCTTCACTTTAGCTTTATGCTACACAATCTTCCAGCTTTTTATTATTTTTTTTAAATCTCAGTGTTATCTTAGTACATGAAAGAGGGGTGCTTCTTCAAAAAGTTTTGCTTCTTTCACATAATTAGGTAGATTTCTGTAGGTTAGATATGATCTTTAATATTATAGTTATAAAGCTCTAACTTCTTCATTTTCAAAAAACACAAATAAGCATGAAAAAAATAAAGTTACCCATCTGTTAAATCATTTTCTTGCAGAATTAAATTAATATATATTTTTCTGAATAAACTTACTTAGAAAATATCATTTTCTTTCCTATATTTCAAAATTGAGGTATTGCAAAAGATCATGTCAGTCAGAAAGCATGCCTTTTTCCTTAAAAACAAATAAACAAAAAATCTTCAGCCAACTTGAAAACAGTCTAGAATACAAAAAGCAGTAGTGCATAACAAAATTTCTTGTACAGATGAAAAAAACCCACAAACATAGAAAAAAACCTGAACAACAAACAAAACCACACCTGGGCTGGAAAAAGTAATTATTACCAAAAAGCCCAGAGGTAAGTTCAAAAGGGGAGGGTTCTAATAAGCATTTTTAATCCAGTAAAAAACTATTTTGTTTTTCCTTTTTGAAAACAAACTATAGATTGAGAGCCAGTAATTGCAACTAAATACTGGAGGAAAAATCAAAACAAAACCAAGCAATACTAACTTCAGACAGTACAAGGACATCACAGCACATAAAACACAGCAACTTCAATCTATTCTGCAGTGTCATATCCAGTCAGATTGTCCCCAGAATTCCAAAACATAGGAAGAAGATTTGAAAAGATTTACGTAGTCTCGCAATCATTGTGTGTGTTTATATATTACTATCTGCAGCCCAAGAGTGAATGCTAAAAAAATGTCCACGGTAGTGCTAGCAGGGATTAATTGAATTCAAGCTTTACAGGATAAATCCAGGGAATTAAATAGCAAATTTCTCACCCAGACAACCAACTTTGCCCAGGCCATCTTATTTTGTACAGACATTTCTTTAGCATCACCATTACACAACTTCTTAAAGACGTGCCTAGATCATCAGTCTGACAACTTATCTCTAGATACTGTATATATTCTTAGTGTTTGTAAGCTAAAATGAGCTCTTTGGTTTTCTGGACAAGGTCTGAAGCTATGTAAAATGGTGCAAGCACTAGGAGATTGTAACTAAGAGCTCATGTGTTACTTAGTAATATACCAGTTATGAACTGTCAAGTTCATTAATGTCTGACACAGAGGCTTTAAACAGTTAAGTTTTTGATCACAGTTAGACATAATCACTTTACTATATAAAATAAATTGCACAATATATAACAGAGCACCGCAAAGTACTTCATCTACCATCCACAAATTTGCTTTGAGAATATCCTACACCTAGGTTTGAGACTGGTTGTAATATAGGTCACTCTGCGATGGGCTCTTCCCATTCAGAAGCATTCAGCTTACTGAGGCATGCCTTCCTCTGCTCCATTACCAAATCTTTGAATGGAAAAAAAAATCCTCTTTTAAAAAAATGAGTATTTTATAGCTTATATAGATTCTTAATTTGTGCATTGTGGGAAGGTTGTATACTAGACATTGGATATAAAATTTATTGCATGCAGCAACCTGATTAAGTAAACATGCAGTCAGAAATAGTGGCCTTCCACGGAAGCTTTCTAAAGTTTATTCTCATCTCCTTTCGGCAGCTGACTCTATCCCTAAATCACAAAGGTGTGTTGGTGGGTATTTGTTTTTGTTTTTAAGTGATACCTTAGCCTGAATAGAGTATTATGGTATTGACAATACCATTTTAATAGCAGCAAAAGCTATTGCAGCATAAATTTACTTAATACTAAAAGATCTAACCAAAATCCTCAGCAGAACAAAAATGAAACGTGAAGGGAAACTAAAGATGCAGCTTATGAGGTATGCTTACAAATGAAAATGGAGAGCAAGTAAAGGCTTATTTTCATCAAGGGTCACCCTTATTCCAAATGACCCCAACTAATGTTGCTGAATGGTGAGGACCTTGCTACATCTGCCACCTACTCAGGAGCATCACCTTTGGTAAGTCTTGTCCTAGGGCAACTCTCCAAGTTTCTGAAAATAAGTGCATGCTCCAGTTTAAAAACAATCAGAACAGCAATACAACAAACAAAAAAAAGTCACAGACATCAACCCGATGGCCACTGGTGAGAATGGCAGTCTACATATTGTCAAGAGTGACAAATTAGGTGTAAGAAATTAAGGTACCAAGCAGACAAGGTGTCAATCAAAGTGCAAATCAGTACCGTTATACACTCTGCAATTCTGCATTATACTGGACACTGAGTTCAGTAATATGACTGTAAATAATAATAGTAATAATAATAATAGTAATAATAAAAAGACCCATTTCTTCTTTAAAAATCGAGAACGAATGCACAGATTTCCAGAACACTGTAAGCCCTGAGGCAGTGCCCTCTCTTTCCCTCCTTGTTATCTACTGCAGTACTTGTGGCTGGGTTGGCCCTCGGCTCAGCTCCAGCGGAACGGGACATGACGAGGGCGGTCGCCTCCCTCCTTCACCAGCGGTTTGTGGAACTCGCGCCCGGCGCGGGAATGTATGCTCGCCCAGCAGTATTCGCAGTAATACTGCAGACAGGTGACGTTGGCACAGAAGAATGGGGCAAACTTCCCACCGCAGCGCGTGCCCTGGCACTCATCACACATCTGATCATCCAGCACATATGGCTTCACTTCCACCTGGACCCAAAGAGGAGAGATGGGGAAAGAACGGTTTAGCAACGCTTTCTCGTCTTTCTTCTTTTTGAGTTTACAGTAAGCTTGACGGTATGACTCGGTCAGATGAGATGAACTCTGCTAATCGGATGGTAGTTAGGAGGAGGAGCCTGGGAATCAGTTCTGAGCTGTGGTTCCATGCGCTCGGCCTGACTAATTGGAAAAGAGGAGAACTCTTTCACACACCTACTCATGTGAAACAGGTGCAGCAGCTCACATGACGGGGTGCTGGTGGGATAAGAGAGCAGCACATGAGCTGAATCCTGAGGCTGGACAATGTCTGACAATGAGGGACAAACAACATTTCAGAGAGAGGAACCGGTAAGAGGAAGGCCCACAGCAGGACAGGGCAGGGCACCGGTTTGGGGGGCTGTGTGGGCTGGAACCAAGCCTGGGGGAAGAGTCACACAGAGGGGAAGAGGTTGGAAAGGTGGGCTGAAGGGAAACACAGACTGTGAGAGTCTGGGCTTCACAATTTGAAGATTGAGGCTTTCAAAAACCCAACATGGGGCCTGGAGGTGTGGCTCAAGTGGTAGAGCACCTGCCTAGGAGGTGCAAGGTCAGGAGTTCAAACCCCAGGACCACAAAAAAAAAAAAAAAAGCAAAAGCTCAGTACTCCAATACCCTAGAGAACACTGGGTGAGGCGATGGGGAGGCTGCTGAGATGTTACAATCCACTGTCATTAATAGGCTTTTTTTTTTTTTTTTGGACTTTCTCTATTGCCTTAATCTCTTCCAAGACTAGAAGTTTCAATAGAGAGTTTCTTATCATAGCTCTTTAGGGAGCATCTAAAAATCTAAAGGAGGACTGGAGGCATGGCTCAAGTGGTAGAGTACCTTCTTTGCAAGCATGAAACCCTGAGTTCAAACCCCAGTCCCACAAAAAAAGAAAACAAAACAAAGGTGGAGAACAAAATTACCACAATTTGACCTCAAGCCTTTCTTCAAGAGCCTCAGAGAAGAAACACCGTTATTAAACTTGATTTCCTCCTCTTAAGTGGTAGAAAAGAGCACAAACATGAGAAGGCTGGCCAAGTCCCTCCCACCATCTCTGGAGTCGCTCTGGGGAAGAGCAGCCCCTGTAGCTGAAGCCCAGCTCTCCTGGCCTTGTGAGATGTGTAACTGTGGGGCGGACCATTCAGCCAGCCTCTCCATGCAGGCAGGAGGTCCCGGAAAGGCATGAGTCAGGGCTCACCAGAGGGCATGGAGGGTGGAACGCAGGTGAGGGCAATGGGGCCAGACACTGTACTTTCCTGCTTCTCTTCCTCTTCTGAAGACCCTTTTAAGTCTGCTCCTCTAGTTTTACCTCTGCTGTGAGCTCCGGGTCCACAGGTCTATTTACTAGGCAGACATTTCTACTTAGAAGACCCTCCTGACAAGGCTTGTATCTGCTCCTGGCTACCCAGGGGGAAAATGTCTTCACTCTTCCTTTCTCCTCTCTCCCCATGCTCAACCTGAGAAGCTAGCAAGTGGGTTTCATCTCTGCAGTGGCTTAAGGCAACCTGTCTGGGTTCAAATCTAAGCAACATTAGTATCTGTATAGGCAAATTTCTCAGCCACTCTGAGCCTCTTTCCTCATCTGTACACTGGGGGAAAGAAGACTTCTACTTTCTAGGGTCCCGATAAAGAGCAAGTGGATTCAATCATAAAAAGCATTGCCTAGTATACCATAAGCACTAAGCAGAGCTGTTATTCCTACTGACTGCTTCCTCTGACACCACAGCTTGTGTCTGGACGTGTTCAGTATCAGTGACCTCTAACCTGGTCAAGTTCCAGGTCTTCTCTGGTTCAATACATCCATGTTGATATGTCATTAATCTGCTTCCATAATGTCCCTCTCCTGGCCAAAAGCCACTCAAATTCTCCATTGCCCACAGGAATGAGTTCAGCTGCCGTAATACAACAGCACATTCCTTCTCTGTGATGAAATACAAGCCAGTCTTCACAATTTGCTCACTCTCTCCCCCAATGACTTGCCAACTCAAAGTAATGGGCCTCAGTTTTCACTTGTACTTTCTTCCAACTTAAATGTCCTCCTTACCTTTCCTGCAGTCCACTGCAAAGTCTCATGCCCAGTCTGAGGCCCAGTCTTTCCTTTTTATTTCCTCACATAAAACTATTAATTTTAAAGAGAACAATTCAGTGGAATTTCATACATTCTAGACAACAAGCTGACATGCCATGACAGCTAGTGTTCCCAATGCTGGGTAATAAGTGTGTCAATCAATAAAGACAAGAGCATTTCTAAAAACTCTTTCTGGTCAGTAGGAGAAATTCAACCCAAGTTCACTATTTTTTTAAATGAATTTCTGAGGCTTGAGAGAATCTGGGGGAATAGGTCACCTCAAATAAGAATGATGAATGACTACGACAGCCCCACTTAAACAGTACATCCGGGACCCTCAGAGCTTTAGCAGGAGCGCGTTTAGAATCAGGACGAGCCAAAGCTTGAACTCATGCCTGGCGCTTGAAGAGCCACAAACTGAGCGTTCAGAGTAAACCGAGGGACCTCAGCAACAGTGCGTCACGCCACGAAACGGCGAGGGAGAGGGCAGTGTTTAATACTTGATGTTTCAACATTATTTAAAGAAAAAGTGCTCTTAAAAGTGAAGGGTTGGGTATACACGTCCCTGTTTCCAGATTTGGCCCTAGTAGGTCATTACCTGTCACCTGGAGCAAAAGGGCTTCTGGAAAAACCCATTTAATTTAATTTGGAGTGCTCAAAGCTTTTAAACATAATTTCTCATAATCTTCTTGGCATGTGTCCTAAGAGTACACCTGTCCAGGCTAAAAACCACAGCCGCCACCTTAACAGTGCCACTACATACCAAGTCTGTCCAGTAGCCAAAGCAGGTCCTCTACCAGCAGACAACACTAAAAATGTCTAAACACACAGGTTTAGTTTTTCAACTGCCTATGAGGTAGGAATCCTACTGTTTAGAAACATCCGACAGATGCCTGTGAAATTAAAGTACCAATGTGAAAATAGCTTTTCCTTAGCAACAAAGTTATCCACGACCTTTCAGATATAGCGAATTCACAGTAATTTTAGAAATGACCTGGGGTCAATTTTCTTTAATCTGTAGGGGAAATGATTTAGATTTTGTTTTATTTAGCTTTACACAGGAATGGGCCTTACACTATTTTTCATATTCTGATGACCTAAGGGATAAAAGATTTAAAATTATCCTTATGCTTTTCCATAATTCAGAACTTATTACTACATGGCAGGGTTCTGTGTCAATACCTTTGCTGTGTGTTTACAGAGTGCAGAGACCTAACTATGAGGCTCTGTTTGGTACTTTATTATATTTTTAACTTTTTTAACATATTATTGTACTGGGGGTACATTGTGACATTTACAAAAGTTCTTACAAAATATCTAAGTAAGATATATCATTCTCCTGTTTGGCACTGTAAGATAATTTTTTTCATGAAATGCAGAGGGTCAGTCAACAGAATCTCACATGGTGTACAGGTTTACCCCCTAGTCTGGATTCTCTACCCTCTTTGGGAATAGAGCTGGAGGTATGGATATGAACCAGCCCACAACCAATGACTAGCAGCAAAAGAATGTATCATGTAGAGAACAAAAGGCAAGAAAATTATTGTTGGTGAATGGTGTAACTGTCATGGCATCAACTCTCAGGGTACACAGAAGCAAAGCACCCTGAATGTGTCACAACTCACAGGTCTATTTCTCCACCCTATAAGGGGGTTGTACCAGTTCTTCCAAGTAAGAATAAGAACTCACCAAGAAATTGCTAACTGACTGATACCACCTGACCTCTAAGGCTTTAGCCTGAATGTTCTACTGAGATAACTACTTAGAAAACATAAATAAACCACCTCTATGCTCAAATATGAGCAAGAAAGATTTTTTTTTTGACAGTATTGGAGTTTGAACTTAGGCAGAGCTTTGCGTTTGTAAGGCAAGCATTCTACATCTTGAGCCATGCCTCCAGCCAGTTTTTGCTTTTTTGAGAATGGGTGTCTCTACTGCCCAACTTGGCCTGGAACTTGTGAACCCCCTGCTTCAGCCTCCAGAGTAGCTAGTATTAGAGGACCTTACCATTATGCACGGCAAGAAGAATATTTTAACCACTCTAAAAGAATTTTCATATCAAAAGTGATCACAGTTCTAAAGGAGAGAGATGAAAAGATAGAACAAGGCAGAAGAAACCAGGGCTCACAACTAGGAAGGAAAGTCATCATGAAAAGTTTCCTTCACTCTGTTCAAAGATCTTTCTTTTGTTTGATGACTCAAATTCCCCTTCAAAAAAAAAAAAAAGCTATTTTTAGTCAAAGGCTCTGACCACCAGTGTTTTAAAATAAGCCTATGTAGGATTAGTTCAAAAGATGTTTGACTCAATCCTGGGTATTGATTTATTCCAACGGATCAAGCCACACTAGGCAGAGGCAAGGTACGGTCTGGGTTTCAGGAGTCCCAGAATAAGGCTGGGAGCAGAAGCAGTCTGGGAACAGGTCATCAGAGCTGACTCCTTTTGCTACTGAGTCATCTAATATATTCAAACTGTGGCTGAGGAGGGGCAAAGTTAACATCAACACTTCTGTTAGTATGCTTGCTGAGCCATCTTCATTTTCATTCAGGCAAAAAATACAGTGCCTTTGGTAGTATTCAGCAGATTCAGGCCCAACATGTTTCCAGTAAAGAGAGGGGGAAAAGATTAAATACGGGAAATACTTAAGGTGTTTGCAAAGAGAAGTGCAATGGGCAACAGCTCATTAAATGGAAACTATTTAAAGCAAATGTTATATACTAGGGCTTAGATTGGCACAACGTTCTTTAAATAAAAATGTAAGAACACCCAACTTGGCTAACTGAAAGTCAGTCAGTCTGATTCTCTCTGGTCCTCTTATTAAGCAAAGACAGAGTCAAGGGAACATTATTTGTCCAAACTTATTTTTACTTTTTTTTTGGTTGTACTGGGGTTTGAATTCAA